CAATTATCGAACTATGATCAGTAAAATTCCCAGCTAATTAATTAATTGTCGAAATTTTTTCACAATAACAAAATTAAAAAATCTAAAAAATCGGTTTTATGCAATTTATGGCAATTATGTTAATTGATTAATATTTTATTGTTTACGAATTTGAAATTTTATTTTTTCTCATTTAATAATTGTTTATATAATGAGGAATTATATACAAATTTGTGAATAAACTCACAAATCACAATAAAACAACGTTAATGTGGATATCAGTACAATTTTGGAAAAACGAGTTTCATCAAACTAATATCGCATCGAAAGAATCTAAAACATGTTCTTTTTCAATTTTAGTCACAAACCAATTAGAATGACTTCAAACGTCGAGAAAACTTAAAATAAGCAATTCCCATTTTCTACCGGAAATTCAAAACAACCTTTGAATCTCTTAATAATAGAGCTAGGTGATAATAAATGTAGGTTAAAATATTTTTAACTTATATTGTATATTTTTATGATTTAACAATAAAAATGATTAATGAATATAATAAATTATTGTACCGAAAATACACAGTCACGAAGTATAACGTTTGATAAAGATATAGTCAATATTTTAACTAATGTTATTTATATTTTTCAAAAATTATATTGTAAAGTGATATTATTCTGCCAAAAATGATGTGACATTTATTTATATATATTTTTTTGCAATTGAAATAGAAATTTTATTCAGAATGGGGTGGTAATATACAAAATTCTTGAACTGTTTATAGCTGTTTTCTGTGCTTTCAAATATAAACATTTATTACTGATCGTCTTCATCAAAAGTAGGTTGTATTTACAGTAAGACTAAGCTAGGCATAGTTATGCTGCTGGATTTATTTATTAGCCATTTTTAAAGTCAGTATAAACAAAATCCACACGTGTGTTCGCACTAAATGCACTTCTGTTTATATAATTCTGGAAACAGTTTATTGAACTTGATGGAAAACTGCACACGTTCCGTCAAGCACCATCCCATAGAAAGCTGCGCTTTCGATTACTCGAAATGTTTTGCAATTCATGTATTCTTATCATTTTTATGGTTTTATTCACATAATTTTGAAATCATATTTAATTAATCAATTTGCTGGTTTTCTTGTTACATCCATATCGAATAATAATTGAAAACACAATGAAAATTAACCCTTTCGACTCGGATGCCGCCGCTCCGGCGGCAAAATTCTTATAAATCTTGGAATTCGCGAGTGGAAATATTTATAGCAAATCATGTTCTATTATAAGTTTTTTTTTCGTATTAAAATTATACACAAATATCTTTTTTTATTTTAATTTAAATATCTAATCTAAATAAGTTTTAATAATTTAAATGTCCAAAATTTAAACTGGTGATGTATGACATCGTGCCTTAAGGCAAAATGCTGGCACGTCAGCAATGAGCATATCTCCCCATCAGTAGAAACCGATTGTTTTTGAATATTCTAAATTAGTGTCCGTGCGCCCGAAATCGCGGACGAAAAATTGTATCCACACAAAAACACACATCAATTTTTTTAAAGGTATGCCAAAATTTCAAGAAACCTCTGAAACGTTAAGATATGCAAAAAAAATTATTTCGATTTTTTGGACGATTGCTATAACTTACCCTATATATAAAGAAGTTAATTATAATACTTAAATCATTACTTTTCACTATCTTAGCTTGTAGAGTCGGAATTTTAAATGGTTTCAAGATTTCGTTCAAATATATATGGGAAACCTGATTCCTGAGTCTGAGTCCCTCGGCCGAAAAAGGAAGACAACCGTTAAACGTTTAAAACGTTTAATCAAATTCAAAAATTTTAATATACTTTTTGAAATTTTTGTAAAAACTTCTAAGTTTTTAAATTTTTTGAAAAAATTAGTTTAAGTAATTGAAGAAGTTAAAATTCTATTTTTGGAAAACTTAGAAATGTAATTTTTCTTATTTAAAACGTTAAAATTTTTACTATAATTTCCCGTAGTAAGTTAAAGTAGTCGCAAAAAAATCGAGAATGAAAATTTTGTCGACAATTTCGGGCTGATTAGTATTTGGCAGAGGCAGGTCTAGCCGTTTCGAAGATACGGGGCAAAAAGAGCCAAAAACGGTAACCCAGTTTTTAAGAGAACGGAGCGTCCGAATTTAATAATTCAAAAACCATTATTAAATTTTTGGGAAGGCAGCTCTACCGGTTACAGAGATCTAGTAAAAAAAAGTAAAAAAAAATGCCATTAGGCGGTCGTACATGATTCATTTCGTTTTATGGAGATTTTAATAATATGTATCAATTTTGTTTACGTTTACGTTACGTTTCTATGGGTTCCGTAACATTGTTTGTTTATTTAACAGCGACGCGGCGCTTACGCGCTTCGATATTTCATCTCATCAAAAACATTTTTTTTCAAAAGTTTTTTTTTCAAAAAAGTCAATTTTTTCTAAAATGTAAAATTGTTTAAAAAATCTAATTTTTTCAAAGTTAAAAAAAATTAATTTTTGATACGGTAAGTTCCAGTAATTTGCCTTAACGCACGATGCCATACACCACTAGTTAAATCAATCTAATCGGTTGATATAAAATATATATATATATATATATATATATATATATATATATATATATCCGTGCTCTATAACTGACACTACGGAATTTAAAAATTAGTTCGATTTTTCATTAAAATATAAAGTTGTGGAAAATATTTTCTAACAAAACATTGCACATTTATTACATTAGGTAACAAATGAATATAACTTTGTAACTCCCGATATACATTGCGCTTACATTACACTTAGTTAACATTTGTTATATAACTTTGTAATTTCAAAATACATTGCGCGTACATTACATTTAGGTAACATTTGTTATATAACTTTGTAACTTCAAAATACATTGTGCGTACACTTGTTATATAACTTTGTAACATGAAAAGTTACATTGCGGCAACAAGTAGTGTTTACTGGGTAATATATATTTATAGAATGACAATTTTTAACTATTTGTAATATTTTTATTTTTTTTATGTAATAATTTTGGTGCGTAACATGAAAAGTTTCAGCAATTTGTCATAATAAATTTATTAGACATAATATCGACTAACGCTTGTTTATGTGTATATCCGATTCTCAATTTTTGTTTCTCAATTATATCTTGAAATTTTAAATTAATTATTCTTATCATCATCAATTATTCTTTTGATAATTATATTCTATATTTCTATAATTAATTAATTATTAATTTTAAATTAATTGGTCAGAGGATGCGGATTATAAATTTTGATTGAGCTACAGTTGATTGACTGTTGTAGTAAAAATCAATATTTTTTTCTTTAAATATTAAGTTTTTAATGATAAAATTTATTATGCTATAAAAGACATTGATTTGGGTTGTTAATGTGATTTTGAAGTACTTCGCGAACATCATATTTAAATGTAAAGGTTTCAGTAATAACTGCGCGTTCAATATATAAAGTTTTGACCAAGAATATAAAGAATAAAATTTAGGTTGTCAGGTTACAATTGTAAATTACAATTACAATTTGAAATTAGTTAAAATTAATACAATTTATTTGTTCCAAGTTGTTATAAAATATTCGTATTTATATATGATAAATATAGTGTGATTTTTGTATATTTGTTTCAATAATACTTTTTCTTTTGCAGATCACAATGCCTGTTTGTATATATATATTTTTTAGTGATCGATAGCACGTTATCATTATATGTAAGTACAACTTTTTTTACAATTTATATTATGTGTGAAACCATATAAATATATGGATATATATATATATATATATATATATATATATATATATATATATTGTATGATTCTGAATTTGATGTTGACATATGTATTAACAAAGTCTAATAATCGGGCATAACATTTTTCCAAATTTCCAAATTTCTTACAAAACAATAAAAGCGTTCGTGCAAAGGATTCGCAATTCGTTCCACACATGTTAGAATCTTGGTAAAAATATTTTTTAAAAAATGTCTTTCTCTATTACATCTTCAACAAGTCTACGAATAACACACTATCCATTTGTGATTTTTTCAAATCAGTATTTTGTGAAAATATTGTGTAATTTCAAGTTAATGTTTATAATACATAGTGTAGTGCATTACCATATCCTAATACCATGGATTATTAAAATTTTCCAATTTAACACTAAGATCTACTAATTGTAAGTACTAATTACTATTTTATTTTTTCTTTTCACTCCAATTCAATTGTTTTAGTTTTTAATTTTATTTTTAGTTTCCACTGAATGAAGGCTAGGATTATAGCCGAAACGTATGGATTTAAAATAAATTTTTGAAAGAAATTCATGTTTTTTATTGATGTTATGCCCGATTATTAGACTTTGTTATATATATATATATATATATATATATATATATATATATATATATATTATATGTTGCAAACATATACTTCAATAATACATTTATGAATAACCTCCATTATGGTAGAATATAAATGGTACTTTTCTTCGAATAGTATCAATAAATTTTTTGCATTTATTTCATGAGAATTTATAAGTATCATCTTGAACATTAATTAAAGCGAAAATGTTGATATTATTTATGAAGATAATAATTTATTGCATTCTACACTTTATAGATATAAATACATTCTACACAGTTCAGTATAATGTATTCGTTCATCGTTTAGTTTTTCTATGGACCACATTATTCTTGATAATAGCAATTATGAATTAACTGCAAGGTTCAATTGGTATAATACTATAATATATATATATATATATATATATATATATATATATATATATATATATAATACTTTTCAAGGCACAAACATTGATTAAATAAAAACAATGGTTAGGTAATTCAAAATTTAATTAATCTAACAGCAGTTTCGAGTCTTTATTTGAGTCTTTACTTTTGATTTTTGTTTTATTTTTTAATCAATTCTTGAATGCATCAATAAAATTGTTTGAATATCATTTTAATGAAGTCCTCGACGAGGCACAAGAGGATGGCTTACCTGCCTGATAGCTTTGTAGTGCCTGGTGGTGATGGGCGGAGACCTGACCTGTGGGGGGAATGGGGCCCACCTTCAGCGTGTTCTCGAACTTGTGGCGGAGGTGTCGCGTATCAATCACGACAATGCACACATATAGCGTAAGTTAATAAACGTTATTAATAGCAAAAATAATTTACCAAATCCTCAAAAAAAGAAAATGGAATATTAATAACATTGAACAAATAACGTTGAGTGCTGCACATATATATGCAATATTTTTTTTCAGACCTGATGGAACGCCATACTGCGACGGCGGAGACAAAAAATACTTTTCATGTAATACTGAGGTATATTTAATTATTTAATACATTTTATTTTCAGAAATTGCTACGTATTTTATGTACGTAATATACCTCTCTCTCTATATATAAATAATTATTTGAGCAATTTATAACAAAGACGAAAGATATTGACCAACAGTTCCATTTGCTAAATTCCACCGGTCTTTTTGCATTAAAATACTCATTTTGCTTACTTTTAAAAAATGTTAGTTGTAAATTAGCAATTATCATGGTTATATGTATATATCCACATTATATTACAAATATATTTTGGGACCAATATCTTCTGCTATTCTTTCTAAAAAAAATATTTGGGATCAATATATCAGTGCCGTCAAAGTTATCTCCTTATAAATACTTATTATTGTTATATATTATAAAGATGTGGTTTATTATTCAATTATCAACAGATACTAGAAACGTAGAACTTTACAAAATTGAACCGATTAACGTTTTACTATATATTATTACTTATCAAATCTATCTGGGTGTCTGGCTGGGATTGTTTATTTTTCTAACATCCTAATAACTGATTTTTTATACTGTTTACAGGAATGCCCCGACGGTTCCGTTGATTTCAGAGCAGAACAATGTTCAAAATTCGACGAAGTTCCTTTTGAGGGTGTGAGATATGAGTTAGTACGAATTTTCAAATTATTATATACTATTATATATGTTTATTACTGTTGAATGCCTCGCATTTTGATTACTGATTGATAGTCAGAGGATGCCGACGGGTTATTATATTATATTATATATTGTATATGGGCAATCAATATATTTCTATCGATATTTGCAGAGTTAGATCATATTTTCAATCATATACATACATACATATATATGTATGTACTATTTCTTTAGATACATAACTTACTAATTTCAGATGGGTGCCCTATACAAAAGCTCCGAATGCCTGTGAGTTGAACTGCATGCCTCGTGGAGATAGATTTTACTTTCGACATAAGCTCAAAGTTATTGATGGCACAAGATGTGATGATGAAAAGCCTGATGTTTGTGTAAACGGTATTTGCCAGGTAACATAAGTCCTGATGCTGTTGTAGATATTCGAATATTTTTCAGTTTCGTAGCTTAAATTAATAAATAAAATTTATAAATTATTTAAATTATTAATGTGTAGCTTAATTTCGATTTAATGGGTACATTACTTGTATGTATTATGTGTACAAGAATAATCTGAAATGCTTAATATTTTTTGTGGTATTTTTAAAATTATCGAATGCACACAACAAATGAAATATTTTGGTAAAATATGCATGCAATTATATATTTGTGTAATCTTTTCATATTTTTAGCCAGTAGGATGCGATATGATGATAGGATCATCAGCACGAGAAGATAAATGCCGAATATGCAGAGGCGATGGTTCCACTTGCAGCACATTGGAGGGCACTCTGGAAGAACGAGACAGGCCAATGGGTATAAATAAATAAATATATCATATGGGATTCATAGTTTTATCAATCTTGTTAATCACACTTGATGGTATTTTTAGGCTATAATGATTTGTTATTAATTCCTGCGGGCGCCACAAACATAGAAGTAAAAGAATTAGCACCTTCTAATAATTATTTGGGTAAGTACTATCAATCACTTGTATTATTATATCAGTATTATTAAAAAATATTATGTGTTATTAAATGGTATAGCCAAATTTATGAAAAATTTTATCTATCCAGCTGTACGTAACAGCACAGCACATTATTACTTAAATGGAAATTGGCGCATACAGTTTCCTAGAGTTTTAACATTCGCGGGCTGCCACTGGCATTACGAACGCTGGCCCCAGGGTTTTGCTGCTCCCGATACGCTTCGTTGTCTGGGTCCTATTAATGAACCACTGTATATTGTTGTAAGTATATATAAAATATATATTTGAGCATGTGTGTTGTTTGACAAAAACCATTTTTAATTGTATGTTATTACAAATGTTCTACACATAGCTCTTGACCCAAGACCGTAACGTGGGTGTGAGGTACGAGTATTCAGTTCCAAACAGTTTGGCAAAACCAAATCACCCGGATGTTTATACGTGGACGTACGATGATTTTTCACCTTGCTCAGTAAGCTGTGGTGGCGGTCTGCAGACTCGACGTGTGACTTGCTCAAATCGACTTGACTTACAAATTGTTTCTGATGAGCTGTGTGATTCCAATCAGAGACCACAGGAACAACAAGTAGGTCATAATAATTTTAATACATTATATTTATTTATTTATATGCATATGTATATACGCCCTATTAATGACTATTTTTCAATCCATTCTCTAATATGGACTTTTTTTAGGTATGTTCTACTGAGCCATGTCCTGCTCACTGGGTCCCTGGCGCGTGGTCGCAGTGTTCTACTCCTTGCGGTCAATCTGGTGTTCGGGAAAGACAAGTCTTCTGTCAGAGAGTTGTTGCTAATGGGTAACATAATTTAAATGCCTAAACAAGAACTGCCTTAACAGCTATTTTACAATACAAGTTAATACCAATATCAACATCAAAATTATTATCATATATAAATATATAAATATAAATATATAAATATAATATATAAATATATATATATATATATATATATATATATATATATATATATATATATATATATATGTAATACCGTGATATGTACCATATACTTAGTTTTATTAAAAGTTTTTGATTATAAGCAATAATTGCTTTACAGAATAACGTCGCTTGTAGATGACAGTCAATGCTTAGACTCGGGAGAAAATAAACCACCCCAAACTGAGGCTTGCAATCAAGACGAAATTTGTCCTGAATGGCATGTGGGACCTTGGTCACCGGTAAATTTTAAATTATAGTTTTTGCACATATAATTTCATATCAGCTTATATGAAAATTGACCTAATTCATTAAAATCGAATACCTTCTATATTTCTATTTATTTATTATATTTTTCAGTGTGATCGACTGTGCGGTCCTGGCGCTAAACGACGCGACGTCAAATGCTTCCGTAGGGATGACCATGGACGAATTATAGTATTACAAGATTCGGACTGTCCAGAACCAAGACCGGAATCTGCTCAACATTGTACTTTAAGACCGTGCGAGGGTGTTGATTGGATTACATCTGCTTGGAGTGGAGTAAGAACATACAATATAAACCAGTTTTAAATGCCATTTCCGTAACATCCGTTTATTTTGAATAAATTCATTTTATTATTATTATTTTTTTTTAAATATGACGAACATAGTTTATTAAGGTGCGTCCACACCTAACGAACGAACATAAATAAACGTACCAGAACGAACGGCAACAGCATAGTGTGGACGCCACAACGATCACGAACGAACATAAACAAACATGGCGAGCAATGTTCCGCAACTTGTCGGTACATCAAAGGGAATTGTTCGTTCATGTTTGAACTCGTATGTGCAGTGTGGACGCTACCACGAATGTAGACAAACATTTTTCTTTTTTGATGTTAAAATGTGCAGTCCTGCATTAACTTATGTTGTGTTTATTATAAGATATTGCTGTTATTGACAAATCTTGTAAATTTGATGACTTTAAATAATTTTGCTCTTTCCCGCCACTTTAAATAATAAATCTGACGTTTCACGGTACATCCTCGAACAAAAAGATTCAAGGCCTCACTGCTTTGAGGCGTTTGTTTGGAATTTTTCGCGTTCGTTCGTGTTCCTGTTCGTTCTTCTTTGTATTTTCTTGTTCGACATGTTCGTTCGTGTTCGTTCGTTAGGTGTGGACGCACCTTTATTTGTTTTACTGGAAGCTGTACTTTTATTACCTTCAAGTATTTTTTGTATATAATAACATTATTTCCATATTATGGCGAAATTCTTTTTTTTGAAAAGTATATCCAGAATATTTTGTTCTAGTCAAATGATTTAGAATGACTTTGTATCGTTGAGAAAACAAAGTTAACAAATAGCATGTAGGGGCTAAATTATTTCATTACGATTTCAACCTTTCTCTATATATAACTTTATGCTAATATTTATTTTTACAGTTGCTAATATAATAAAACTTATACAATTGTCAACATTCTTAAATCACTGTTTTGGTTTCGGTATTGAGAAATGAGAATTAATATCACTTTTGCCACAAAGTCTTCTAATATTACAACTATGATAACATACTATGCCTAATATACACATTCTCAATATTTTAGTGTTCGGCTTGTGGTTCTGCTCAAGAGACTCGTGCTGCTTATTGCGCTAGTGCAGCAGGTGATATTTATCCAGATGAAATGTGTCATGGGCACAGTAAACCAGAAACTGTTCGTTCATGCGCTGATGAACACTGCGATGGAATGTGGTTTTCCACCCAATGGACTAAGGTAATTTAGATTGTCTCTGGAGGCGATTTCCGCAATATTATTTATTATACCTATATTATTTATTTATTGCAACAACACGTATTTTCCACATTTTTACTATATTATTTATATTATACTTAAATTATTTATTTATTGCAAGAACACGCTTTTTCCACATTCTCATATACCCACATTTCCAACATTGGTAATATTGGTTAAATATTGGAACATTTCACCGCAACTCGCCATTATTTATCCGCCATTCATCATATCAAATATTTAAACAGATGTTTTGGTAAATTTTAGTGTTCTGCACGTTGCGGTAAAGGTGTTCGTACACGAAAAGTTTTCTGTGGTGAGTTTGTTGACGATTTGATTAAAAAAATCGATGAATCAAGATGTCAACCTGAAGACAAAATGTCAGAGGAAGAAGAATGCATTACTGAACCATCCGTTTGTGGCGCTGAGTGGTTTACTGGACCATGGTCGGAGGTTAGAATAACAATAATTTAACGCTTGTTATTTATATCTATACGAATTTTTGTAGCTTATATATCCGAATTGAATAGCATTGAACAGATAATATGAAATCTACACTTTTAGTGTTCTGAACCTTGTGGCGGAGGAGTACGAACAAGAAAAGTACTGTGCATGGAAAATGAACAAGTTGTTCCTTCTTCAAATTGTGATTTGGATCTTATCGAATTTTCATCGGAAGAATGCGGCAATGAAACATGCACTACTGGTAATTATTAGATTTACATTATCTTTCTGCTACAATTATCGCTTCAATTATCGAATATATTAGGTGTACAACTTTGCTTCCGCCGTTTCCGATATGTGGCTGTACCGGCTGAGGCTGGTTGAACTACATAGATGATAATGCCTTTGAAGTGAGTGTGGACAGTGCCTAACGAATTGTCATATCCGTTTCAATGACAGTTGTTCTTGTTTTCGTATTATTCACGCTCGAAAATGTCCGTTTATGTGCCCAATTCTCGCCATTCGCGGGAAGTTTTACTTTTCTGTTACAATTCGAAAAAATGCAGCTGAATCGCATCGAATGCTCTCAGAAACTTATGGTGATGCTGGTCTGAGTGAAAGAATGTGTCGGGAGTGGTTTCAACGTTTAAAAAATGATGTTTTTGATGTCGAAGACAAACATGGTGGTGGAAGAGAAATAACCTTCAAAGATGAACAACTAGCTTTTAAAACCGGGTGAAACCATCGCAGGAGATCGCTACTGAACGCAACTGATGCGCCTTAGCAGCGCGCTAAAAAAAAGCGGCCACAATATCAAGAGCGAAATGACAAAGACATTCTCCAACACGACAATGCTCGGTCTCACGCCACAAAAGTGGTCAAAAAGTACCTGGAAACGCTAAAATGGGAAGTCTTGCCCCACTCGCCGTATTCCCCAGATGTCGCCCCTTCTGACTACCACCTATTCCGTTCGATGGCACACGGCCTGGCAGATCAACATTTTCAATCCTTCGAAGAATTGGAAAAATGGATTGCTTCATAGATAGTGTCAAAAGAGGACTCCTTTTTTCGAGCCGTAATCCGAAAATTGCCGGAAAGATGGGAGAAAGTTGCCGCTAGCAACGGACAATACTTTGAATAATACATCTGTAAACACTTTTTTGCAATAAAGCTTTTAATTTTGAAAAATCGGCGGAAGCAAAGTTGTACACCTAATATATAAATTGCTTTATTAATGCAGTTATTCACCATTTGATTAATTACTATTAATAAATTTTTATTTAAAGATTCTGTGATTCATGTGGGCTCTCACTCGCCTTTAACATTATCAGAGACTGAAGAATCATCAGAAAGCTCTATGTCAATAACATCTGTTAGTCCAGAAGAGTATGAAGATGAAGATGAAGATGATTTAGAGTGGTGTGAAGAAGATGAAGATGAAGACGAAGAAGGAGCAGATGAGAGCACTGAAGATTTGGGTGCTTTGGGACTAGTCTCATTTGATTTATCAACAGCCGAAATGGTAAGTAACTTGTTTTTAAAATACATATATAAATATAAATAAATTTATAAATATAATTGAAGATTTTGTCCACTTTTTGCAAAAACGTCTAAACCAATCTTGAAAATTTAAAATCCAATCGAAAGATATGAACTTTCCTTAAGACAAAATACTACTTACATCTAATTTGCATATGTATGTAGTTTATAAAAGGGAATTTAACCAATTAATACTTATGTAGGTATCTGAGTCAACGCTGTTCTCTGAAGATTTAATGTTGAGTGATAGCACAAGTAGCGACGCGGGTGTGTCGGATGCGACTGAAGTATCATGTAAGTAATGTATTTATATATACATGGGTACTAATTATTGGAAATTTTAAATTCATTGAATAACTATTTCGATATTATATGATTGAATTTTATTTTTTCATATTTGTTTAATTTTTTATTCTCCATAATTTGTATTTTACACTGCACTTTTGAATGCTCTTTTTTTCTTTATGCAATTTTTTTATATTGCTTGCTTTTGCAATAACAATGCCGACATTACTTTTCTTTAATATTCTTTGCGCATAATTTAACGTATATTAGCTCAATAGTAAACAAATTTATTTTTCAAAGTATCAACAGAGGGGTCTGGTGCTTCGACACTAGATGAAGGATCTGGTGACACGTCTGATTTTACTTCATCAGATATTTCCACGTAAGTATCGTAATATAATCATTATTTAGCATTGAATAGGTAATTTATAATTTATATTTAATAACATGCGGTTTAATTGTATTACATTTTGTCCTATCTCTTTGCTGTAACATATTGTTGTGTTATAGAACGGAAAAATCGTCAGAAATGAGTTCAGAAATATCTTTGGCGACTAGTTCATTATCAAGTTCTGAATCTACACTTTCTTCAGAATTTACTTCTGGTGCAGAAAGCACCAGCGGCTCCATTAGTACTTCAGAAGGTTCAACTATTTCTGCAACTAGTGATCACTCAGAATTTAGCACGGAAAGCACTTCACTTTCATCAATTGCCTCAGACTTAACTTCGGAAATTGCTACTGCTCTAAGTGCAGATATGACATCAGATTATGTTTCTACTGAAGTATTTACCGGTTCAACTGACGTTTCAAGTGCTGAATCTAGTTCTGAGACCATTACTGAATCAAATACTGAATTAGTTTCGGAAACAAGCACAGAATCAGTTTCGGAATCTAGTTCTGTATCAAATACTGAATCAAGTACTTCAGAAAGCTTAGACTCAAGCAGTAGCCTGTCTAGTGAATCTCCGGAAACTACAGGTTACTAATCTCATTTTAAAGCGTGGCATAAATATTATTAGTATAAATTGTTTTTTTTTTAAATTTTCTTTGATTTTATAGATTCATCAAGCACTATGTCATCAACATCAGATGAGTCAACTATTTCTAGTCAAATGACAAGTGACAGTACATCAGACCTAGTATCTAGTTCGAGTGATACTACAACGAACGCAGCATCGTATTCTAGTGAAGCTTCATCGGATGGAATAACTGAAACTAGTGATTCAACAACGGCAAGCGAAACTTCAAGCCAAACCAGTTATATGTCCACTGTGTCTGACAATCTAGGTTCGCAGCCACCAGAAGTTAATGGTGAAGTTGATACCGCCGAATTTTCTATAACTACGCTGTCAGAATCTTCAGGTAATGACAAAAAGAGCACTTGTATCTGTATTTATATTTGTTTTTCTCAATAACATATCAAGACAAGAAAAATCATCATTACAACTTATATATGTATTATTATATGTTATTTAAAATATGTTGATCATTATTTTTGATGTTCGAACATATAGTTGTAAAATAATGAGATTTTGATCATGCTAGTTATTCTTATATGGTATTAATTATCAGAAATATAGTTTTGAGTAATTTGAGAAAGAATGAAGCAGGATTTTTTAGTTTATATATAGTAATATATAAAACAATATTCTTATTATTATAGAATACTCAACATCAACGAGCAGTGAGGAATTGTCGAAGAGTACGACTGTAGATATGTCTACACTAAGTTCTGAAGCTAGCACCGTGGAGTCTTCAAGTACAACCGACAGTTCCGATGCAACTACCGAAGCAACAGTATTATCTACCGATGTTTTTACCGAAGAAACACCAACTTCCGATAGCACAAAAATGTCAGAAGCCAGTGAAGCCACATCAGATGCCACCGACGTTACTTCAGAATCTACTGAGATTACTTCAGAGATCTCTGAGTTTACTTCAGAAGCTTCTGAGATTACTTCAGAGGCCTCTGAGATTACTTCAGAGTTCACTGAGTTCACTTCGGAAACTTCAGTTTCTGTGACAGATTCTTCAGAGTCAACAATAAGTTCGGATATCACAGATGAGATGTCAGAAACAAATATTTGGTCAACTACGGAAGAAACGTCAGGTAAGACAAAACTCATTTTTATGTTTTTACAAAATTTAAATATAATAATTCAATTGAAGAATCATAAAAAAAATGGTCATCATAAAAATATATAAGTTTAAGTATTATCGCTAATAAATAAAACTAATTGTATGTGAAATTTTGTCTTAACTCAAGTTCCATGTACTTTCCGATATGTGTAAACGATCGACTTCATTAGTAAGAATTAAGATTTAGGAACTTTAAACGAAATTTTGAAACGTCTTGTTATTCAAAACTTTATTAAATTTATATAAGTACATTTATTTACCTTTTATTATCATGTAAAATTCTGCAAAATCATAAAAGAAATCTTATTAAATCTTAAATCTTTTGAATAGATTTTTCATACCTTGTTGCGCTTGATAAAGAAAACACATTTTATCGCGGATTAAGATGTACAGTTAAAAGTTTCTACAATAGCTATTTTAATTGTTTTAGAAAAATCGGATACAACGCCAAATATAATGTTAGACATAATAACTAAAAAATCAAGAAAATTGAAAAAATGTAAACCAAGGCCAAAGAAAAAGCCAAAATGTGTGACATCAAAATATGGTTGCTGTCCAGATAATAAAACTGCCGCAACAGGGCCATTTGATGAAGGTAATATATAATTTTTTTTTTCTAATGATATGAGAAATAGATTTCAAATAAATTTATGCGCAGGTTGTATTATTCCTAAGACATGCTTGGAAACCGAGTTTGGTTGTTGTCCAGATGGCATATCAACAGCCAAAAGTAAATCAAAGAAAGGATGCCCCAAAATTATATGTAAAGAGTCACTATATGGCTGTTGCCAAGATAATAAAACAGCTGCCCAAGGCAACGATCAGGAGGGCTGTCCCATACCCACTACCGCAGCTCCCGGTTGCAAAGAATCAGAGTAAGTCATCTAATAATTATAATATAATTAAATAATTATTTTTATTGTTTAATATATATATATATATATATATTTATTTATTTATATATAATTTATATGAGAATATAAGTTTTTCAGTGCTTTTCTTATTATAATTACAGTTGTTAATATTAATATTTACATTATGAAAATGTTCCTTGTGGATAAAACAATATATACGCATCATAGTTTTTTTTTTTAAAGCAATGGTGCTTCATAAGTGCTATTTTCACAATTTTTTTTGTTTTAACATTTTTCTTGTTTGTTGCATTTACAGGTTTGGATGTTGCTCAGATGAAATATCTTTTGCCAAAGGTCCAAATATGGCCGGATGTACTTGCGAAGACTGCACAACAGAATCAACACCAGGTTATTATCTTATTATATAACTATATTTATTTATAAACATTTTATATTAAAGTTGAATAAAATTTTAGTTCCTCAAGAGGATTGTCAAAACTCTGAATTCGGTTGCTGTGACGACGGTGTTTCATTTGGTAAGCTATTATGTTTCTTTGATAAGATTATTCTAATTTTATGTAATATTTTTGATTTTTTTCTCTAGGTATTGTTTAACTTATTAACAAGCTTGACTTATCTTTATAGGATGATTGTTCAATAATTCTAAATCCTAGGCATAAAAGCAAAGATATATTAATTTAAATTTTAAATTATCATGTTGAAAATTATCACATTAAAATATCACATATCGATTTAGAGATTAACTTTAAATTGAATAGAAATTTATATGTATACATCTTTATTAACATATTCATTCCTAGCTACTGGACCACAAAAAGAAGGTTGTCTATCAAAATGCCAAAGATCTATATTTGGTTGTTGCCGGGACGGTAAAACGCCTGCTCATGGTCCAAATGAAGAAGGTTGCTGTCTGGGAAGTCCTTATGGCTGTTGTCAAGACAACATTCAACCAGCCCGTGGTATCAATTATGAAGGTATGTGTGAATGTATGTATTGTATATGTGATTAAACAAAAAATTTGAATAATGTATGAAAACGAATGAGACAGAATTCATTATTTAGGGACAGAAAAAATGTCTTCAAGTTCATACAGAGATAATGAAATAAATTAATATTTCTAGGATGTGATTGCCAATATTCCCGTTATGGATGTTGTCATGATAATACGACGTCTGCTAGAGGACCTGACCAGGAGGGATGTGACTGTCATTATACAACATATGGTTGCTGCCCTGATGGAATAGCGCCTGCTCGAGGACCAGACTACTTTGGTTGTACCTGTTCCTCATACCAATTTGGTTGTTGCCCTGATGGTATTACAATAGCCAGAGGACCACACAAACAAGGTTGTAAAAGTTAAATACGAATTATCAATTGCAACTAAAATTAAAGCTGGAGGCAACTTACTAAATAGTCTTAGCGTTTGGTTTAACATTACATCAACTATTAAGATCATGATTTAATAAATAGCTTTAATAACATAATTTATCGCGGTCAATATTTTCTAAAAATGTTTGCTAATAACACATTCAAAGTTTATGAGAATCTGTAGACCACTTTTGAGCATTATGATTTTGCATTGTTTATAATGCATAGCAGCAAGCTGTCCCTGCAATAGGAGTTTTATAATTATTTTTTGGTGAAATACAAATAAATAAGAGTATGAAAATATTATAAATAACCAACTATAATATTAAAATAGGGTGCGGATGTGCGGAAAGTAAATTTGGTTGTTGCACTGACGGAGTGAACCCTGCCACAGGACCGAACGGCGAGGGATGCGATTGTTCAAAGAGCGAACATGGATGCTGTCTCGATGGTACAACTGAAGCAGGAGGTGATAAATTTGAAGGTTGCACTGACAAACCTAAATATCCACAAGGTATTTGAATCTGTAAATTAATGTAGAGGGTAATTATATACATACTAGCCGGCCCGACAGACTTTGTCCTGTCAAAAAAAATGGTAATGTGGCGGTGTTTTGTGCCTACCTTTTCTATTCTTTGCAAAAATTATCCTGAACAGAACCGTTACCCCTGGTAATAATTCGGTTGAATTAAGAATATTAAATAAAACACTATAAGCATTTAAAGTAAGTAATTTTAATAATGTAAATCATAATTCAAAATCAGTTCAATTTTCATTGTAGTGCTTTGTGAAAACGATGTTTTTTTGTTTGATTACCTGGCGCATAGACAAACAAATCTGATGGTTTTCCAATACGGGAACAAACAACATACAATTTTCCATGTGAGAAACATGGGTTTTCTAAATTAATACCACAAATACTTAATGATACCATAACGCCTGGAAACGCATTGGGATGCGGTGCGAGAACATCTTCTGCTCTATACTATCCTTTGAATATAGTTGGTCGATATTTCGCAACATTATAATTGCCGATCCAACCTTTAACTGAAGATTGTGAGGTGACAATCCTAGCAAATCCAGCGAGTTTAAAAAACTCCAGTGGATCGTCTTGGTTAGTTTGCCGAATCAACTGATTCGCCTGTAATTTGTTCTTGAATTTTGAAATTTACATCAATGTTTTTGCTGCCAATATAGCTTGATTAATAGAAAGATATTACTATGTTTATATAAATATATTCAAAATTAGATTATCAAAAACTACACAAAATGTCATGACATCGATGATTGTTTTTTTTACAAATTGCGTTGCCTACTCGATTAAAGAAGATAAGGGCTGTTTTTAGGGTTTTCCCGGCAATTATTAGTGTTTTTTTCGCCGTAACAACCATCTTTGGACTTTCAACGAACATTTTAAAAAAAGAATTGGCCAAATTGGTCCAGGCGTTGTTGAGTTATGCGCTTACCAACACATTTTGCGATCCATTTTTATATATAAGAAGATATGTACTTACAAAAACCTTTTTAGGGTTTATATGTTCGATAAAATAGCATAATCATTTTTTTTGTTTACATGCAATCCCAAAAAGAAAAAAAAATCACTTTAATCAATTTACGAAGAAATGAAATTTACAAAATATTTATTTGTATATATTTAATTGAAATACTTTCTTTTCTAGAATACTGTGCACTGGATAAAGAAAGGGGAACATGTCGTAATTACACCGTTCGCTGGTTCTTTGATACCGCATACGGTGGGTGCAGTCGCTTCTGGTATGGAGGTTGTGATGGAAACAATAATAGATTCAATTCACAAGAAGAATGCAAAGATATATGTGTTGATGTCCAAGGCAAAGGTAAATATTGATTGCAATTAATTAATTTCATTTAATAATAGGACAACTAATAATAGCTAAGTAACTACTACTAATAATTTCTCCGACATATTTTTGATCTCCACACATACTGTTTTAATTTCGGTATCAAACGATTTAGAACAATTGGAATATTAAGAAAACATAATATTAGCAAGATGGATTTTCAGGCGTAATATTATTGTATATTTTAGCATACTTTTGTATTATATTTATTATAATTTCAGATCGTTGTCGGCTGCCAAAGATAACTGGTCCATGCGATGCATATTATCCAATGTGGTATTATGATAATGAAAGGAAGCAATGTGGACAGTTTATATATGGAGGATGCCTAGGAAACAATAATAAATTCGAAACGAGAGAAGAATGCGAAGGATTGTGTGTCAGTCACCAAACATTGGGTAAGAAGCAAAAGTACCTAATTTAAAACTGTTTGTATTATTGACCCACTTTGTAAGGGACAGGTGTTTTGGTACCCGAGTTTTATCTATTATTATGCACTTTATTTGGTTTTAACGAATGGGTCTATTCGCTATTTTGAACTATTTTTTGATGAATGAAAAGACAATTTTTTGGGTCTATCTATACGAGCTCCCAGAACTGTTTACATATTTTCAGATTATTATAGCTTGTTGTAATCCTTTTGCTCTACCCTGCTCTTAGACGTCACCTAAAATATGCATAATCCACATAAAATATTGAGGGCCAACTATCGATCTTATTTTCTGGGTTTTCTCATCATTTGATTTTGTTTCACAAATGTTTTAATTTTTTCATTAAACTGCTGAAGTAATATTAAATGGTTGCATGCTGCATATATTAAATTTTTATTAACCTGTTATTTGTTTGCAGATACGTGCGATCAGGAAATGGATGAGGGTCCTTGTAGAGGATCGTTTGAGCGGTGGTATTACGATAAAAATTCAAAGAGTTGCCAAAGATTCCGCTTTGGTGGGTGCAAAGGAAATAGCAACAATTTTATTAGTGAATCTGCATGTCAACAGAAATGTGCAACAAAAGAAGCTCTTCAAGGTATCAGAAAGAATATATGTATACTAATTAGAAACTTTAGTAATACCTACTCATTTTATTTTTGATAAGTCATATATGATTCAATGCCGTAGAAATAATATACGAGGTGTGTTCAAAAAGTACCCGGAATTACTAATAATTAAATTTCGCGGGTCTGGAGTGTCTGATTGTCAAAATTTTTTTTTTATTGTGTTGGTATACATAACAAAAGTATGATGAAATTTTCAGCTATATTCACTGTTTACTTTGTCTGTGGTAGTCGCTAAGGTTCGACGTGTTTTTCTGAGCTCGGCGATTTTTACAATGGAAGAATTGAAAAGTCAAAGAATTTGTATTAAATTTTGCGTAAAAAATGAAATAAAGTGTTGCAAAGTGCAAAAAATTCACCAGATATGGCTCCGTGTGACTTTTTCCTATTCCCAAAGTTGAAGAGACCCATGAAAGGACGGCGGTTTTCCTCGATTGAAGAAAATCGCTGAGAGTGCTCAAGGACATATCAAAAAGTGAATATCAAGGGTGCTTCGAAAATTGGAAAAAACGCTGGCATAAGTGTATTATATCTGGGGGGGACTACTTTGAAGGGGACCACATTAATGTAGACGAATAAATAAATATTTTTTTGAAAAAACGAAAATTCCGGGTACTTTTTGAACAGACCTCGTATGATTGCACCTTATAATGTCGTTGGTATATAATAAAGAAATAAAGTTGAAGCAAGAGGCATTTTACCTTGCCATTTAAAAGCCTCCTTTTTTATTCCGAAAATTATTTACATAATTTTTAAATTTTTTATTCAACTTTTTTGGAATATGGGATGTTTCCTTCTTTAGGAACCATTGAGAGAAAAGTGTCTTTTACTTCAAAAATTTGACAATGACAATTAATAATACCTGTCCTGAAAAACATATGGTTTTTATGTATATGTATGTAAATATAAATACATATTTTTGTGGCCTTTAGCTTACTGTTACTTGCCAAGAGAACAAGGCACTTGCGAAGAACAAGAATCTCGTTGGTTTTATGACACCAATCAGAAGAGATGTGTTCCATTCTACTATAGTGGTTGTGGCGCCAATGAGAACAATTTTGCTACACGCGATGATTGCGAACATTACTGTCCTTCTGTAAAGGGTATGTAGAATTTTAATCAATGAAACAAATATTTTACAATGTGAGGTTTTTTAGAATTCTGCACAAATCATATAATAGATCATAAACTTAAACACTGTGCGCCTGTTTTCTTTAGTATAATTTGTTATGCTAAATTAAATGCATTAATTACAGCCCGCGATGTTTGCACATTACCAAGTCTTGTAGGAGAATGTCATAATTATACTCAACGTTGGTATTATGACACTCTAGCCAAACATTGCAGAGGTTTTTACTATGGAGGATGTGGTGGCAATGGAAATAATTTCTTAGACGAATTGTCATGTCTGCAAAGGTGTTCTGATAGGATGCCCGAAGAACCTCGCCATGTACCAGAACGAAGGGAACCCGACGAAAATATCGACAGGCAACGTGAAAGGGAGGAAAGAGAAAGAGAAAGGGAAAGGGAAAGAGAAAGGGAAAGGGAAAGGGAAAGAGAAAGAGAAAGGGAAAGGGAAAATACTCGGCCAGTATATTCCAGAGGTAATTATAATAGTCTATTTTATTATATTTGGTACAAAAATCCATATTAAAACATTTATATACGTACTTTCCTTTATTTTAATAAATACTTTTGCATAATTGCGATTGCAAAATGTATAATAATTTAAATTCCTCAAAAATACAAAAAGTATGTATTTTATTAACTCCCGTAGGGCAAGTTATAGTAATCGCAAAAAAATCGAAAATGAAAATTTTTATATATCTTTACGTTTCAAAGGTTTCTGAACATTTTGGCATACCTTAGAAAAAATGGATGTATGTGTGTATGTGTGTGTGTGTATGTATGTATGTATGTACGTGTGTGTATGTATGTGCGGATACAAATTTTCGTCGACAATTTCGCAAACACGGATCAACCGATTTGAATAATTCAAAAAACATTCGATTCGTATTGATAAGGAGACGTGCTGATTAGTTTTTCGCGAAGGCAGATCTAGCCGTTCCAAAGATACGGGGCAAAAAGTGCCAAAAACAGTAACTCATTTTTTAAGAGAACGGAGCGTCCGATTTTAATAATTCAAAAAACATTTTACTTATATTGACAAGGTGAAGAACCGATCAAATTTTCATAAAGGCAGGTCTAGCGGTTTCGGAGAACTAATAAAAAAAGTAAAAAAAAATGCCATTTGGCGGTCAAAAATGATCATTAGACTTATGCACATCAAATTATCAGATATTTTATAGATATTTTAACAATAAGTATGAATTTGGTTTACAGTCCTATGGGTTCCGTACCAATGTTTACGTGTTAGACGGCGACGCGACGCTTACGCGCTTTGATATTTCGTCTTTATGCAGTTAAAGCAGTACGATTGCTTTGAAAAAAAGTTTAGATCTTCAAAATATGTCAAAATAAAGTAAACATTTTTTTTTCATGTCCATTTGTTAATTATCATTTCATACAATTAAATGTTGTAGATTCATGTAATTTGCCTGCCGAACAAGGTCCGTGCGATTCATATGTAGTGCAGTGGTATTATGACGCGAGATCTGGCACCTGCAACAAGTTCCACTACGGAGGATGTCAGGGAAACCAGAATCGTTTCAACACATTACGTGAATGCATGCATGTCTGCCACAGGGGACCTGATCCAAATGCTATTCACTATGCAACAGTGGTATTTATTAATTATTTGATTATTTCAATTATATCTAATAATAACTATATAAATGATATAAGCCAAGATTATTAAATATGAGATTGCAAGAAATTATCTTGAATTTTGAATATTTTATATTGTGAATATATAGCTCACATAAAATAGATAAAGCAATGATCTTTTACTAACAAAATATTATTATTAATGACATTAACATCAATTTTTTTTTTAGTATTGTTACTTACTTTTACCTTTAGTTATTATTATTCACCTTTATCTAACTATGTGCATGCTGGAATGCATATATATATGCATTCCAGCTGTCTATAGACATCTTTTACATTTGAAAAAAAAAAAATAGTATTTTCTATATATTGTACATTAATGTTTACTACCATTGGATTGTGTTTTACATTAATTTTCTGGGTGGTAGGCGCCACTGTCTCGAGACAACACATCAGCAGATGCCTGTTCATATCCTGTTTCCTCTGGACCATGTTCGTTCCACATACCATCTTGGTATTTCAACAATGAAACACAACGATGCGAAGCATTTGTCTATGGAGGGTGCGAGGGCAATCCAAACAGATTTGAAAGTGAAGAGCTCTGTGAAAGTCATTGTGTTAGACGACCTGAAGGTAACTGTTATTTCTTTTATTATATGTTATGTCACACAGGCTGAAAATTTAACTTTATTGAAATTGGTTTGAGAATAGGAATACAATGTACTAATTTTTTGGCTTCATAAAATATAATTTGAGGCGAATTTATTGTCTATTTGTTGAATATGTTTAACGATATTTCATTACTACGGTTTGACCTGTATTTTTAAGAAGATTTAATGATTGCTAATTTGTTTTTTTCATTTAGAGAATATTATTAACAATTGCATCAATGACGATCGATCGTGTGAAGAATTACGTTGTCCTTACGGTATTCATAAATCTGTGGATAAAAATAATTGTGTTCAATGCTCATGCTTTGATCCTTGTTCTGATATCCGCTGTCACGAAGGAAGTTCATGCGGAATAGACTTGCAACGAGATGAAGTTTCTGGTAGAACAATTTTCATTGGAGAATGTCGGCTCGGTAAGTTTCGTTCCATAGGCTATGTCTTTATTAAAATAAAAATATTTTTATTTAGAATAAATGTAGAAGAATAAATCTATTTTAATAATTATTTCATTAGAAAACAAACCAGGATCTTGTCCAGTCAGTTTTGTTGCTGGACATGAGGAAGATAGATGTTCTCGTGAATGCCATACAGACGCTCAATGTCGGGGTCCAGCAAAATGCTGTCAAAATGGATGTAGTATCATATGTACTATGCCTAGTAAATTAAGCAATCTTACTGAATTATTAACTACAGTTGCACCTAACATTACTGGTATGTATAAATTCCACTCTTCTTATTAATAATTGCTGAATAATTTGGAATACATTAATGTGCATGATAATGAAAAGTATTTCAATTACTTGTTTTTGCAAACATTTTAATACAGATTATGTTATATGTAGCCGGACCCAACTTTATTTCTAATTCATAATAATTTACAATTTGAATTTTTCAAAAATTCAAGTAACTTTGTGGCATTCAAGAGTTCTAATTTCCTAATGAATTCTTTAGTTCTCGAGTCTAAAATGATCAAATTAGAATGGTAATATTGAATATTGATTATTTAGTTACTGTTTTATTTATTTATTAGATAATACACCACCACGATTGTTTGTGCCTTCTACCCGAGTTGACGCTGAACAGGGTAGTGTTGCTGAACTGCATTGTAGTGTAATTTCTGGAAAACCAACTCCAACTGTGTCATGGTTGAAGAAAATAAAGTTGTAAAATCTTTTATATATATATATATATATATATATATATATATATATTGACAAAGATACACCTTTATGCTTATATTTTGGCGTGTTATTCTAATGTATGCTAGTTTACATTTAATTTAGTCAAGCCGAAAATTGAGTTGATCAGTGTTCAATTCAGACTTTGCTTATATGAAAATTGAACTCAATGTTGTAGTGAAACAAAAGAATTTCAACTTTGTATCTTCATTCTAGGTGGATGGAACAAAAGATAATTATCGATTGCTACCAGATAATACTTTGCAAATAGTTTCAGTGAGCGAAAAAGATAGTGGCCAATATACTTGTAGTGCTGATAACGGCGTTGGACATCCAGTCTCTGAAAATATAGAATTACGGATATTAGGTATAATATTTGTCATTGGTAATTTAATGTCATCAAAATTAAAGTAAAAGTAATTTTTTTGATTAACATTAATATTTGAATGGTTGTGAAGATTGCATGTTTTTTTTTTGTATTATAATATAGATCCAGTAAAAACTACAGTAGGTAAATGTAACAAGTTTTTGCATGTTGTATTGGTTTTGAGAATATTTATTAGTTTAAAATTGATTTGGAAGTTTGTGAATAGAGTGGTATACATGAGAAAAATAATACGAGCATCGAGGATTGAAATATGAATAATTTGGTAATAATAAGTAAAGCTTAAGACAAATAAGAGTATGAATTATTGTATTTGTGTACATCGTATTACTCATATGGAATCTATCAATAGTACAGAATTGTAGCGATGCGTGATATGTAGTAGAAGAGCCAGTGAACTATTTGACTAACCTGTTTTCACAAAGCAAGATTTTTTTTTAATGATATTTTATTATCGGCCCATTAAAAAAGTACCATTCTGGCAGTCATTCCGTGGTTGCGTCATCATCCCTTCAATTTGTGAAAATGTAAAAAAAAATTTTTTTATAACTTGCTCGCACAAGGCTCAAATTTTGAGGGTGTCTTCTTTTAACTGTTCAGAAAGCATATGTAAAAAGCCAGCCCATTCTGGCGGTTGCAAAGGTCTGCCAGATGAGTACATAATAGTCACGACGCGCAAGGGTGTGGGCGCATTGCCATACATTTTGACTAATACCCTTGTATTTGAATAATTTATACGCCATTTTGAAGGTCATTTTGAAAACATCCGTTATACCAAACTTCACTTTGTATCTCACCTTATGGCCGAGATATCATTGAAAATATGCCAAAGTGGCCCCTTTTTCAAACTCAATTTTTGGCGTAACCATAAAAGATATCGAAAAAAAATTGGCGTGATTCTACTCATATTGGCTTAACCACATAATGTATAGTAATATATGCTAAATAATCCTTATTATTAGCTAAAAGGATAAAATAATTTTCAATTAATGTTTTCGGATAGTGCGTTTTGTTTAATTACTTTATTATTAGCGTTATTTAAAAGCTTATGTTTTCTCTTTTAGTACTGCAAATATGGTTTAAATCAAATTTGTGGA